CGTGCAGGCTCTTGTTCATCACTGCAGAATGCATAAAGCCAATGGTAGTGACTATACTGAAAAACAGTCATTTGCAGCTGAGTATTTGCTCTATCAAACAGTGTTATTGTGCTTTTTGTATCTGTTGCCTTTTGCAGGAAAATAAATAGGAGGCGTTACTTTCAGAATGACCTACATACAATGAACAAAGGATTACAGTCCAACTGCCAAGAACACCTCCTTCCCAAAGTCAGTACACAGCAAATACAATACATCTATAATTATTTATCATTTGAAAAATCTCAATACTTACTATATAATACAGTCAACATCCATTATAATTAATAGCTTTTGAATATTTATTAGTTTATTGTATAATAGTTCTTACCTAATAAACAAATGGCTACTCTCATACAAATTTGTAATGGTAACTGAACCAAAAATAGTAGTCAATCTACATACAGCAACAGTCCAAAAAAGCAATAATTTCATGAAGTAATATCACTGCTGCTACAGGATAAATTAAGTATCTCTTCAGTGAAAGCTGGCATAGACTGTGGTCTAAGGTCATGAAGTTTTCTACTGAATGCTGGGGAGGCTATTAACACTTGATTTAAGATGTCCACGTTTGTATTTTGACTTCCCCATAAATACACACACCTAATGTCTCAAATACGAATGCATGTTTTCCTCAGCAAAGCACCTCCCTAAACAAAGCTGATGGAAGAGATATTTAAACCTTATATTTGGACAAGCTCCTTTATGTCCTCTCCTCCTATTTCCTTCCAAAACTGGATGTTTTCAAGTAAAATTTGACCTGAAAACTCCTCCATAATGAATAAAATTCTGCTATTCTGAAATAGTATGCATCACAACTGTATCATTCTTAAATATTTAATAACAATACATACACTAAAAAGAGACTGGAAGCCTGAAATCATTAGGTGTCCTCGCACAATAAAAAGGAGGCATGTATTTCCCTGCAAATGTAATTTCAAAATCCTTTCACATAAGAATCTAAAGACTTGTCAGCTTGGTTACTCTGCTGCTGTATATTAAATAAGCGTGTAATGAAGGTACCGGTTTTGATTCATTGAGATGCCAAAGATCATGGGTAAAGCATATGAAATTAATGAATGTTTTTGAAGGTGGAATATCAAGAAGGCAGTACAAATCAGGTACAGCATCAAAAAGAACAAAATAATGACAAAAAGAAACCACAGAAAATCCAGCACCATTTCATTTTAGTGACCATTAAGAACAACAATAAAGCACAAATGTCATTTAAAACTGATTGCCCCATCCAAAAAAACTATCAAATACTTCACACACCATCAGTCCAGGGCATCACAACACTGTTCTTATTAACAGAACACCGATTTCCAGTCTTAATATAAACTGAATGAAAATTTGAGCCTTATATGTTACCTAGAGCTTTCTAACATGCATTCATTGTCTCTGTTTTTCAGATAAGACTTGCACATTAATCCAGCACACCAGTTAAGATGGTACCTAATTTTCAGTACTTGCATAATGCCATTAAAGTGAACAGGACAAATAAGTCAGTATGCAATGATTTCCTAATACCTTCCAAGGCCAATATCAGATCCTTAGAAACTTAAAGCCTTCACAAATCTGTGCAAATGCTAAGGATAAAAAAAAAAAAAAAAGAAAAAAAATCTTCAGAAGAATTAATTTAAATGCTTTTGACTATTGCTACCCTAAGTCACAGTCTTATTTTGATCCAATAACAGGGAGCACTACTGCGCAAATACAGAAAATCTATACTTTGGAGTACTGATAGATGAAAGGAGCTCCTCAACTAGATGCATTACACTGCAAGTTTGGTGAGCTGTAACAGGAGTATTAGGTATCACTGGGAGAAAAACATATTCTGATTAACATCAAAAACTTCTAATTGCAAGACGTAAATAAACATTTTCTCTATTTTGGACCACAAGATTACAAACAGCTCCTTTACCTACTCAAAAACAGTCTTTACTGCCATCCTGAACCACCTGCAGGAACCCACCTACACTTTCTGAAGATAACCTCAGCCCTCCTGGTCCAATACTGACGTATTGGTCCAACACAATTCACTGAAGTATTACATTTTACTGAATATGCCCTTAGGATCCATTTATGGTACAGGATTTCCCTTGTAAGTGCCTGAATTACGAAGAGGAGACTTCTTTTAAGCAGCAAGCGTCCAATCTGTTCCTCGTAGGCACACAGTCAAAATACACAGCTGTTAAATCTACTCCTGATTCGCCCCACCCCAACCTCCTTAATTAAGGACTGCTGCAGAAGCTCTTTCAGCTGCTGTGTCATTAATATACTGGCCTCTGAGACAGCAAGAAAACTGCTTTTACTCACCAGTAAAACCACATCAACTGGAGAGCCATAAACAGGACCAGTTCCAACTTGCAGAGACAACCAACAAAAGCATGGGAATCAAGTTCAACTAAAGCAAGTTGCAATTTTACTAGTAAAACTTAAAACTGATGAAGGTTGTGAAGCAGTTCCTTATATCCTCATTTTATACTTACTTCGGATGACCAAATATAATACATTAAAAACTTCTCTAAGGTGTGCATTTTCTCCTACTGCTAATGGGAATAGCAAAGCAACAAAAACATGCAACCTTCTAAGAACAGTTGAAATATAAGTGCAACGAATCCATGCTAAGATAAACAAGATGTTTAAGCTATAATTAAAACAAAAAAGATGATGATAATACAGATGATATTGGGAATACAAATTAAAATCAGGTAAAAGAATGAACCATAATGCACAAAATAAAAACATTGCTTATAGACTGGCACCAAATTCATTGGGAATAAGAAGCTCCTATTTAAGAATAATTGTAATATTACAACTTGAGTTGTAGAAGTCAACACAAGTTTTGTCACCAACTTAATAATCAATACTTGGGCCACTTAGCAGTAAACATTCCTGATTTGTTTGAAGCTGTTAATATGCACACATTCTATACACAGATCAGCTGACAAGGCTCAAAAGCGGCAATATTTTCAACTTTCTGAGAAAGGCAGTTACATCTACGTGTGTAATTTTATGTATTTGTAATGGAAATAAATAAATCTGTTGTCACAGCAGAGAAGAAAGAATGACATTCACAAAATTCAGTAATTCTATTTACTGCAAGTGCACAAAAGGATTCGTGTGACAGATGACAAAATGAATATGACAGGATTATACACTGTAACTGTGAAACTGCAAATCCTATAAAGTACACACACAGTTATAATATGCAAGACAAGGGGATAATCCTATTCCCAACCTGAAATTATATGAGTTGACCCAAGCCATTATTTCCACTATCATTTCTGTATCTGCCAATTTTCCCAAAACGTAAAAGCATTAACTTGGTCGCTAATAAAGTCAACAGAAGCTGCAAGCATAAAATTCGAAGGCTATCAACCTAAATTTTTGACTACTACAACAGCTTTACTTTAACACTCTTCTCCCTGCAACTCACCTAGAGATACACACCTAATGGTGCTAACAGAATGACAAAAAGTTGAATGCCTGAAAAATGGACTCAACTTAAAAAGCTTTTGTGTAAGAATTAAAAACAGAACAGGTAGGCTCTACAGTTTTCGGGTGTTGCTGTCTCTTCTGGGATTCCCCAAGATTATAATAACAATATAGCATTAATACAAACCGCATGTTTTGAAAAGCTTTAGTAAGAACTTACTAAAGAAGTGCTATACAGCAGATATTAAATGAAATTAACAGTGGTTCTGCCCAAACATTACCAACCCATCTTCAAAAGCAGGGGGAAAAAAACACACACAAACCAAAGGAACACAGCTGAAGGTCTCCTAGTAAGTGCCAGAATTGACAACTGAACCAAATTCAGCTTTATGAGCACACCACACCTAGCACTCAAAGGCAGCAAAGCAATGTGTGTGCATTTTCCAGCACACAGAATGCAACTTTTAAAAGCAGAAATGGTTCCCCACCGTCAATCAAAGATTTAAGAACACTCAGAAAAATTAAAAATGCATTTGAGGGGAAATACAAACTCAGGTTATGAAATCAAGGCAGCTCCTATGTGCTGGAGATAACAGACATCCTGCCCTGAGGAAAAAGGTTAAGTGTTTCATGCACTTTTTCTACTAGGCATTTCTGTGACTCAATTTCAAATTAAGCAGCCGAGATCTAAGGAATATTCCAGAATGTTTTATTTGAATCACTGACATCCAGCATTAGGAAATAAGTTAATGAGAAACCTGCCTTCAGATAACACACTGTGTGCAGCTCTTCGAATTGTACTTCATATTCTCCTCTTTTTAACATCATCATCATTTAAAGTTATCTACAAACATTCCCCAAAGGGTCATTTAAAGCAGTTCTTTTTCTCCTTTCTTCAGAGCAAGCACAGCTTGCAGCTGACCACCCTGAGCTGAACACCTCTCACAGTATTTTTTTTTTTCCTCCCTACAAAAGGCAACTAAACTACGTCGCCCTCCCATCTCCCGTTAAGATTCCAGTCGTTTCTTCAGGGATTCATCACGAACTTGCAGAGCCGTGCCTCAGCCACGTGCCATCCTCCGGAGCACGAGGGGCTGCACGCACCTCACCCACCCCAGCCGCCCCACGCGAGGGGTCGTGCCCAGGCACCTGAGATTTCCCAGCCAGGAAACCAGTGCGAAACACATCCAAAAAATTTCAGAGCGCCCAGCTCGGAGGAAAAAGGGGAAGAACAAGGGAGCGGAGAGGCAGCCTGCAGCCCAGCGCGGGGCGGGTAACGCCGCAGGTGCAGCGCTCAGCCCTGAGAGGAACGGCGCACAGAACAGCACGGCGCTTCCCACCCAACTCTCATCAGCAGCCGCCCCCTCCTCTTCCTCCTCCTCCTCCCGCTGGAAAACCCAGCGGCACCCGGAAGGAAATTAACACAAAATGGAGACTTACACTCCGTCTCCTAGCACGCATGCGTCACTCCGGCGGAAAGGGGTGTGCCGACGGCGACTCACAGCAGCTGAGGGGCGGGTCGGTGCTCGGTGGCGGCCGCGTGTGGTGTTTGGGCGGTGCGCGGTCCGTCAGCCTGACCAGCTGGTAGTCTCGTGCCCACCGCCTCGTGCCCGCCTGGGACTCAGCTGCTCGCGGAGCTGATAGTGTGTAAAGATTCCCTCAAGGTGCGTGGGTGCCGCTCTTGACTTCTCGGAGCCCCGCCGTTGCGGGTATAGAAACGAGCGTCACAGCGCGCGCCTGCTGGTGTTGCCGATTCCCTGCTTTTGGTGCACGCTGGAGATAGCTTAGGTTGTGTTGAAATGCTGTCGGTTTTCCTTTCTGCTGGCGGTCTTTGCAGTGATAGTGAGGCTCCGTGCAGGCAGCGCTGATTTCTCAGCTGAATTTCAGTACTCTTCAGTTGTGCATCGGAGCCACAAAAGACAGCCAGCAGCAGCAGCCCACTGCTGAGCAGAGCCTCCAGCTCTGCGATCAGCTCTGCTGTAAAGGAGTTGTCCCACCAACCTTTTCCTAAAGGGAAGAAACCTGGTCAATAGCTGTCTTTGTTTCTCTTGATCTGGGTGTTTGTAGTGAAGACAAGGCCTTACAGCATAAAGTAAAGCTTCTTTGGTCTGTAGAATTGGTCTTCAGCCCGGTGTCTGAGAAAGTTCTCTTTCTTAGACAGATAATTTAATGTATATGAATTGTAGATGCTGAACATTACTGTCAAATGGCTGCACTTTGGACAATCAGATATGCTGGCCTCAAGCCCAAAACCTTGAACTTTATTTTATATTCCAAAGGAAATGAGTAGAACCAATGGAAGATAAATTCGATATATTTGCTGGAGACAGTACAGTATTAATGGCCAGTATTCCAAGTATCATAGCTTAGTGTTTTACTTACGCTGAAGACAATGTTGTCACCTACCCATACGTGTGATGCCAAGTGTCCTTATTATTAATACCAGGAGACCCAAGATTCCCCTTTGATGCTACTGTCATGAATGGTGCCTCAATATCTGTACTTCCATACAGCAAGGAATCCCCTGCCTAATCCCCAAAGTCACTGCATGCAGAAATGACAGTATTAATTCCCCCTGCTGTTACACGTTTTGCTAGCCCTTCATGATGGTGCACAGTAACAGCTCCCTTGTGTCAACTGCCAGCAAAGCTACCCCAGATATGTCCCTTTTACAGTGCATACACCTGTCTTGTACGATTACACAACTGATAATCCACTGCTTGCAGCTTTTCTTGGTGTATATCTACTTGGTTCTGAGAAACATACTAAGTATTTATTTTGTTTACAAAAGCTGTGTTTACCATTCCCATATCTGGTACAAGTATTTTGCTGGTACTGGATTGCTTTTGTACAATTGTTAATGATTATCTTCTGCACTTAGAGGCTGGATGACATACAGCTCTTTCCCACAAGTTATGAGGTTATCACAAATTCTACTTTCTATGTAGTAAATTTTGACTCTCTGAAGGTTACTGTGTACTTTCTAGAAGTCCTAACAAGAGTTCCTAGTGTTGTTAATGACATTACAGTTGTGCATTGATTTTATTACCTTGCACTGATTTGATAGTTTTCTTCGTGTCTTATTGATCTCACTCAACTAAGTTAATATATACAGCAGGCAAATAGCAGAGATGCTATTTCTCCAAATTGACTCAATTTGTCATAAAGGAAAACAAATAAAGTGAAGTCAGTCACTTCAACAGCTTAATCAGAATCACCTCACTGCCTTTAAGTTATTTGACTTTTCTGGTCATCCCACCTTGCAAGGATCTTACATTTCCCTTTGTGATATGCTCTACTGCCATTAATTGTTAAGGAGACTGTATCACTGGTAAAAGCAAATACTGTCGTTCTTAATGTCTACATAGGCAGTTTCACTGCCACTGTCAAGTGGAATACCATTCAAATCAAGAGGTAGTGTGTGAGATGATGTGTTCATCAGCCCTGATGAAAAAGTGCTCATTTATATTTTTATGCATGTTGCCTCTCATTTTCTACACAGTATTTTAAAGCACTGATCAAATATATTCTCTCTTTTGAGAACTTGCAAGCAAGCAAAGATAAAGATTTAAGACTGTTTTGTTGTCCCAGGCAACGCTGTGAACACAAACATTGTACTGAAGCATATGCTGAATAGAAATTAGCCTTCAGTAAAGCAGCATGTCAGAAAATCAGATTAAGTTTGTCAGGAAGTTTTAAAACTAACAAAAGAAGGAAGAGCCCTGAATATTTTTCTACAGTGTTGAAAACAAACTGCAAATCCTAATGTCTTCAAAGAGCTCTAGTCATAATTCTCAATTTCTACCATTGCAATCTGTCTGTAACCAGAGATTATATGTTACATAAATATGTGCAACTGCTAAAATATGTAAAAAGCAGATGAAGAGGTGGGTTTCTCCTGGAGCAGAAGCTTTTGCTTACCAAAAAAATAGCTTTAATATTCTGCTATTAACAGAAAAGAAACAAATGCAATACATAAGCAAAAGTGAAGTGTGTTTCTAGATAATCTGCCTCTTAACATTCAACTGAACATGAAATCTCTTGACTAAAAAATGAGTAGAGATCCCAGGAAAACTTTCAGCTCACTACTGCTTATTTGTTCTATGGGACAGAGTGCTTTCTTCACTTAGACTGAGCTCCTTTATACTTATGCAGAAACAAAACTTTTTTTCTCTCCCTCTAATCCATAGCAGAAGGAGCCCTTAATATCTTCCCAATCTTGCAGCTTCAGTAAGTCAAGCCCTTAGAACAGCTGTTCTACCTGCACAGTGATACATGAGAGCCTGTCTGGCTCTGTGCTGTGCAGAAACTGTAGTTTATTTTTCACTGAATTCTGTTGCTTCCACTTTGAAACTACTTTTATCTTAAACTACAAGTCCTAAAGCGAGGATGTTACAAACCGCTTATTTTCAAACAAGCTGTCCTTTGTCTTAATCCTTAACATTTGTTGTGTATGCAAGAAATAGGAACATTGTAGTTCTGAAGGAGTAACGATGTTGTAGTAATTAAAATTAGTGAATCAATATCTTGAAGTGTCATCGTTCTTCATTTTTGTTTTCAACCAGTCAGGCTTCAGGCAGCAAGTACCACGCAGCCCTTCATTCCCTCCCCCTCAGTAGGATGGGAGAGAGAACTGGAAAAAAGCTAAACCTTGTGGGCTGAGGTAAAGACAGTTTAATAGGATAGAAAAGGAAGGGAATAATAATAATAGTAATAATAGAAGAACGTACAAAACAAGTGCTGCACAACAGTTGCTCAACAACAGCTGACCAATTCCCTGTCACACCCTGAGCAGCAGAAGCCCCCTGGTTCCTTCTTCATTACTGATGCAGATTTGTTCTTACTAGGTATTTTCTTGAAACCGCTGGTCAACATCTACTTCTTTAAGACCAATTGGCCGTTTTATCTAACTCACTATTAGTCATTTCTCTTTTAGTCAAAAATGGGAGCCATATTCATGGTTTTGGCAGAGTAAGAATGATACAACATCTAACCAAAACAGCCCCTTCTGTGAAGCCAGTCATTAATTCCTCCCTGGTAGCTTGTCATCACCAGATGTCTGCTCAGTTTACATCCTGAGCATTTCCCGTGGCTGGACCCACAAAGCTTCTACAAATGAAGCTGTCTTTTCAGTAAGAGCACCCCACCCTTTTATGGACTTTCCTCTTCACTACCTCAGCTGTTGCAGCTGCTGACCACAGAACTGCAACCTCTCTTTAAGTTACACCTTGTACCTCTGTCTTGATTGAAGGAATCTACAAACAGCATAAGCAAATAGTGTCACTTCTACTTTACGGATAGGGTTTCATCACTTAAGATTTCAGCAAGTGGGTTTTGTACAAAATGTAATGAGAAGTATTCTACATCCGATACAGAAAAAAAAAACCCAAAACATTTCCAGGCTTATATCAACAAGTAGAGTACAAAATGTTTTTGTTTTTCATAAGAAATGCTGGCAGTGAAGTCTAACCTTGCCAACAACAAAGCATATCTGAAGGAGGACTCACACTTATATCTAAGCATGAGGAGAAGCGTGGGCACATTTCCCTCCAGAAATCTGCACTCGCTGAACATGATCATCAGCGGTAGATGCAATTAGCTATGTCCAATTTACATTTTGAGCACAAGGGACAAGCTTTCACAGCATGCTTAATGCGGTGAACACAACAAACTGGTTTTTGTGAGCACAATGCAGTTTCTCAGTTCAATGGGAAACTTTACAAAATATATGGGCAAGGTATAATTACAGCATGCCACGTATAACATTTCAAAAGGATAATTGAAACAACACTCCTATCTTGAAAAATAAACTGGTTTATTGATGTGGGGTTATAGGCATGTGTTTTACTATACAAACAATAACTAAAATATAAATGCCAATTTTCAAATCAGCACAGCTGGATAATGTATATAAATGTTAGGAACAACAACCAAAAAGTAAAACCAACGCTGAACAACAACAGCAACAACAAAAAACACAAAATAAGCCCTAAATGGCAATCATTTGGATAACTGATAAGGAAAAATGACAGATTTGGAGAACTGTTAATATTTTTCAATCTAACAAAGGCTCTTTAATCTGTTCTTGTTTTCGTTCTGTGTGGCCATTGAGGCTAGCAGGAAACCAGCCGGTTAGTCAGAGAACTTTGCAGCACAGCAGGGAGTCTGGTTTGTCATCACATGCAGTAGCAGCTGCCTTCATCAAGAATGAAGTTAATCAGTACAGACTAAATAAAGGATCTAATTCTTTAGATGGCTAACAATGAACTTTGAATGAGCAAAGAGCAGTCCTAGCTTACTGACACTTGGAAACTTCTCTTTCAAATCTGCTGATTTTGTGGTTTGAAACTAAAGAACAATGACATTCCTTAGTGCATGATTGCTTTACCCAAGTATTTCCAGTAAGTGAAGATACTCAGTTTACATAAATGCTGTGTAACTGTTGCATACTGTTGCGTACAACAGCTGCATAAGCGTTGTAAGGTCTGCGTCCAGACTTGGGTTCTCATCATCTTTCTTCATCTTCTTTCATTCTGTTCTTAATTATTTCAAGCAGATATCTTAGCCAGGTCAGATCTGAGAAATCCAGGACATGAAAATAATAAGTGCAAGACACTTAAAGATTAAGACCTTGAAAGCATGTTTCTTCATATGGAAAACTGAGAGGTGCTGTGCTTAGTTAGTATGTTGAACATGTGGTCAATAAGGGTTTTCCCACTTTGGAATATGTCTCTAGCCTGAAAATACAGATAGCAGGAGTTAAAACTGCCCTCGTGACGTAAATGGAGGACAGCCACAGAGGATTAGTTTTCTCACACTTCATTCCTTCCTCAAAAGATCTCGACTGGATGAATGTAGTGCTGTAGAGCTATGTACTATAGAAGTACGTAATATTCATAAAGAGCTGTTGTGTGGGCGTTCAGTTTTGAGAAAAAGCACAGCTCAGAAAGCTAACTGGTTTGTAATTCCAAGGATCATATTAAAGAAATGAAGAAAGGCTTCTACTGACGCTCTGGTTTAAAGGAACACCTATTGATTGTTCGCATTATTCAATGACCTTTATAACTGTAGCACTCAGCCCGTGTTGCAAACATAGGCTACTGGAAAAGGACACACTGAGTGAGCTGTATCACGGCTATAGGAATTGCACATATTTCAGACATGATGGTTCTTCAGAATGCTGTCTGCCTGAGTGCACAAAGAGGCTTTTCCAAAGGTAACATAAATGTGGTATCACAGATAAGTGATTAATATCCTCAGTGACTGCTAATAACAGAGTGAATAATAACTGTGAAAGATGGAAAAAGAAATGGCTTTGTAAATACTTTATTACTTTCCTAACTCTTGTGGTAATATTTCCTTACCTCTTTTTAAAAACAACAAGAACGTTTTTCTGTTTGTTTCAGGTTTTATTTTAGTTCTTTCAGCAAGGCTTGTAAAAGAAATTAAAATGTACATCATGCCTTTGTAAGTAATACAACTTTAAGCAAAATCCTTTTAATACAAAATGAGCTTGATCTTCATCACAAAAAAAGAAAGGTGAGGAAGATCTCATACATTACAGAAGGGTCATTTAGTCTTCAAAATCTGCTGGGCAATTCTGTGAGGAACCACTGCAACTAAAACATATATAATTAAACATAGAAGTAAAGGCTGGACAGCATGTATGTTAACTTCAAAAGTTGTTACACAACGGTTGTGGGTATTAATGGAAAAACCATTCATATCATGGTGCTATAAGGGACATATATATCAAAGTGGAGTACTTGAAAGATGAAGGGAAAATTACTTTTGTTTTGGCACATGGCATGACATGGCATGTCAAAAGAATTTAGATAATGTTTTCAAATCGTACAAAGTCTATTATTCATGAAGTTCTGTGCTTTACTAGGAAGGAAGAAACAAAAGGCAGCAAAGTGGCAGGATGCTGAGCGCTGAAGGCACATAGGTAAGCACTGATACAATCTTTGTTCTTCTGCAGGTTACCTCTGGTCTTCACACACAGGCTTTGTGTGAGGAGAATGGCTCATATGGACTTAGATAAAATCTCAGATTTCTTATATAAAGTGCTTTCATCTTGATAAGCCTTAAATTATATTTTCCTCTTGAAGATTCCAGATGTTAAGTCAGCTTCTAGCTCTGTTTTACCTAGGAAAGTGCTCTGAATTTCTCATATAAGCATCTCACTGGAAGTGACAAGACTAATGATAGGGTTGTTAAAATTTATTTTAAATTAGCAGGTGAGCTAATGTTGAAGGACTGCTTATTGGTTTGGATTCACTTTCCTAAAATTCACTTTTATAAAATCTCCATTTTGTTGGTGACCTTTTTTTTTTTATAAATAACACTGATTTAAAACAATCTGTGGGTTTTTTCTTTTTTTTTTAATGTGTTCTACTCGTCCAGTATAGAACTTGTCCTTTAAATCCACAAGTCACTTGAGAAAAATTTACCTTGAGTACAATATAATAAAAGATCAACAAAGGTGTAACTCAGCCTTTGACAATTCTCAGTGCTTGTGAAAAAGGTTTTGAGGTGAAAATAGCTGTGCCAGCAGCCACTTAGATGCATTTCCAATCTTATTTGATCAGAGCACAGAAAACTAAGAAAATTGAAGACTTCCCAAACCCTGGATAATTTAGATGTTTCAAGCTTTTATTTTTTAATGTTCCGATTTTAGTAGATAAGGGATATTGCAATACTTTTAAATTTCTTCTTCTTTTGATTCCTCTGGTGGTTTATTTTTGTGTGGCGGGAGGGTGTTTGGGAGTGAATGTAGGCTTTGTCAACTTTATATTCACATACCTTTGTGAGCACATATACACTCAACAAAGGAAATATCCTAGGGAAAAAAAAAATGTAGTAACGGATTTTAACCAGTAGTAAAACACTGTCTTGTAGTCTATTTTATTACATGTTCTGACCTCTGAGGAACTGATGATATTACTGTAATTTTTGGTAAATGGGAACCAGCTCTCGTTTCTCAAGATTGTTCTGAGTGGTTGCAAAGACAGTTGTATCCGTATAGTCTGTTCCCAATCCAAATTCCTTACTTGTACCAGATATGGCAATGTCAAACTGGGAGCAGTAGTCCTCTGCTTTCCATCCTCCAGACTGTCTCTCTATCACAGTATCACTGCTGAGAGGGAAGATTATGCTTCTGGAGTAGAAGTATAACAGTACAGATACAGGGTGTGAGTACAGACTTTGTAGAAACTGAGTTCTGCAGGAGGAACCTGTACACCTGGTGTCAGGATTAAGATTCAGACTTGAAGAAACCTGGGTTTTGTGCCATTCCTAACCAGTATAAATCACAGATATGAGTCAACTGGTAAAGATCTCTTTGGCATCTATAATGAAACAGCATTCTCAACTCCTTTTCAGGATGTTTAGGAATTATCACTTGAAGAATAATAAATTGAGTAATTGAACTCCATCCCAACAGTCATTTATTGAGTGACTGCTTTGAGGTATCTATTTGCTTTCGATTTGTCTGTAGAGATTTCTGTTAGTTTTATTGATATTAATAATAATTTATTGTTAACAACAGTTCTGGTAATATGTTACCTTGTTTATGGTTGTGTATTTCAATAAGGCACATCAAATTGTCTAATATTTCTTTCAATAAGAAACCTGTGGAGCTTTGCTTAGATGTTCTGTGATTAACAGAGCACCGTGACCAGTCTTCTCTGTTAGTATAGGGTTTTTACATCTGGCATTAATCTGGGAATGTTTTCTGCATACAGAAAGGATGTATTAGCAGCAGAGCCCTATGCAAAGAGTGAGATTCCAGAACAAAAATTTGCAGCACATGTCACAGTCACAGTCTCATTTCAGTCTTGCCATGTTATTCTCTCCCATTTTCCTTTGGAGATTAGAGAGGAATTCAAACTGGGATATCAAAGGAAGCTGCCCCTATTGCTGGTTGGAGGTGAGGGGAATCTCAAGGTGTATTGTTTTACAGTGTTACATTCACAGTAATTCACAGTAATTAGCCATAGCTGGCACTGTGCTCTTATCAGTACTCTTTGCTGCTGTGTGTTCCCCAGCAATTGTCTAGGAGTAAGCTAAGCCAACTGAAAACTAACCTTATTAAAAAGCCAGTCTGTATAATCAGAAATGGTATCGCTGAATTCAAGAGGAAGGCCAAGATGTGTAAGGATTAGAGTCAATCTTTTATAAACTTCCTGACTGGATCCACTAGGAAGTTATTCACCTTCTATAATGTAATGATTAAGTAGAGAAATTCACAGGCCTTCAAAGTAAATTGAGCTTTTGCTTTCATACCTTTTGCACAAAAAGATTAGACTACAAAGCGAAACTGCATAGCTTTCATAGGAAGCTTCTAAGCAGAGAGAAATTAACATGGGAAGCAAGTAGAGAATTACAGAGAAAAATGGTGCTACTCAGGAAACAGTACTTTTAAGATCACTTAGTTGGCAAGACAGCAAGCATAGACTGATTGCCAACAGAATGACAACAAAAACATTCAGATAAATTCCTGTTTTGCAATCATCAGGCCACATGGGAAGATTTAAATGAAATTTAGCATTCTTCCCTAAATAAGTGGTGCAAAAATCTGTCCGTGTTATTTTGGTAGAGTTGAATATTGCCCAGTCTGACACTGAGAAAAATGGCTAAAAGAGGTAGGCAGATTTTAAGCCTGGTCTGGCATTCTGCTTAGGCTACAAGTAGACAAGTCCTAGCTGGTATAAGATGCAGAAGGATTCTCTGTTCTCTAAATCTGTAGAATGCACAGATAGCTAATCCATACTTTTAAGAGAGGGGCTTGCAGCTCGATAAGGTAACACCATAACATGATACATGGAGTACGAAGGCAATGGGAATGAGAGAAACCAACCTCAGTAAAAGAATACTCTGTTCTGAATTTATAATGTTCAAATGTGTGCATCCTAATCCTTGGGCACAGAGAAGGAATCATAACCAAATTCTTGTGCTGAAAAAAAAAAAAAGTCCCTGTGTTTTTTCCCGCTGCCTACTTTCTCACTTCTACTCTTCACCGTGATCTGTGTTTACAAGGAGTAGAATCCAGCCCCAAGTGCTCTAATTTTTTTATAGGATGTTTAATAAACAGATTTAATAAACTCATTTCAGTCTCTTTCCCTTAAAATATAATTTGAATTTTAATATATTTAGCATACAATAGAAGTCCTGTCTGTGTGTGGGTATAACAAAAAGTGCAGATGTTGCACTCAAATGCTGTGCATGAGAATACCTGAAGAATGTCAAGAGTAAGTTCAAATACTTGTACTCCTTCTTTGGAAAACATTTCATTGGAAAAGATAGCACTAGAGGCTGAGTGGTAATTTTAACCTGAGATTTCCATGTTAGATTTGAGTTTGATTAATTGTTTTAGATTTGTTCTTAGAATATTTGGAAGCCTTCTGAAGTGTACATTACAGCCCACTTTAGAAAATCTCCTTTCTCTGAAGTATGCAATGTGGTCATCTGTGGCTTAGAAATCTCAAAGAACTTCATGCAGGAAAGGAGATTTTCATAATCTTAAGCAGCAGGAAGTATGTTGCATACAGTATCACTGTAAAAAACTGAGCATAACAACCCAAATGCAGCAGGGGTTTTAACTCTGGAAGTCAATACACTGTTCCTGTAATCGAACATGAATGCTATTAAATAATAGAGTATTGTTATCATGGTGAAATATTTCACTTCCAAACAAATATAAATAAATTTTATGTCCATTATGGTGGGTGGTGCATTTTTGCAGCACACCATAAATTGTATCTGTTTTGTATTTAATATTCAGTAAGATACAGTGTGGGTCTGATGATTTGTAAGAACTAACCTAGATCACGTTCTTTCCTCTTTGCATGACAAAGACATCCCACTTTCCAGAGACATGGAGGAAAATGCAGTGAAGAAATAATGGCTGAGAAATGGAGCACAGTGTTTGATCAGAGGTCTTCTTAAACATTGTGCTTTAACAAAGAGGCTGGGATAGAGACCGAGTAGCACCCAGTAATTGCAGGCATACCTGTTTCCACTCTCTCCTCTTACAGCAGGAGAGCACCTCTGGCATCTGGTGGGCTTGAACTTCAGCTGGCTTTACCTTGCTTCACTCTGTGAAGGTGTGCCAGCATAAAACCATTGGGGAAAAAAAGGCTGTGAAGGAAGCATTTTCTGATAGCTTCTGATGATAACAGCTGTAATATATGACTTTTAGCTGATACATTCACATATTCAATGATAGTACTGACTGTGCCACATAAAAGTCTGGTAGAAAGAAGTAGGCTCTGAGCCATTGTTGTATTTACCTCAGTATTACACCTGGTGGGTCACAGTAATGCTTTACTGCACTAGAGACACTGCTGAAGTTACGGCTGCACAACAGTGGAGAAATAGTGATAAGCTGGCCCATTTCTCATACGTGTTTATTTTTTAATGCTGACAGCCACAATTGGTGATTTACTTAAATATCACGGGCATTTTTCAACAATCTTTTCATAAATATTTAGGAATCTTCATTTTATATTTAATTGGGCCCTAATAATATCTCTATTACTTTAGTCATCCTTGGTAGATAAGGGATTTTACATACATAAGAAAGAAGACAAGCAAATTGGAAAGTGTCCTGCTGGCACACCAACATTTGGGAAAAGATGCAGACAGTGCAATCATAGATGTTTATATTTATTTCCATGCTACAAACTGGCTAATATATTTTATTCTATGCAAACACTGGCAAGAGATCAAAATAAATAAAAAACCCCAGATGAACAGCTTCAGCTCACTGTTATGGCCATCTCTCATACAACTGCCTGTTGAACAATTGAACAATTGCTGATATTCCTGACTTTAAAGTATCAATTATTTTACTGTGAAGAATCTCACGAGCTGGGCGTAAGCAACAGTGGAAAACTGTGCACGGTGATAATATAAACAATATAAAAAATAATGGTTTTGATGATATTTTATTTATAAGCATAATTTTCGTGCTATTGCATCTCTACTTATCAGACTTCATAGAATGTCAGTTTTCACGTTCTTCTGGAACTACAAATTCTAGCAGTAAGACAGATTCTCAAGATCTCTCTCCAAACATGCGTTTTCTACAACATAAGCTAAATCCAGATGGAAACTGCATTATGGAAGTACAGTAATAGCAATCCATGTTAGTAACCTGTAAGAGTAGCTGAGTCTTTGAAGTGTAGTCTACCAGTAGTTCTTTTATGTAGAGTCTGAAGTTCTTGTTTTATTTATCACTGATTCTGAATGAAATGCTTTTTGTAATTAAAGAAGCTACAACTGGGCCCACTTTATTTATAACAAACTTTGTCTTCTGTGGCATTAATGTCATGTCTGTTGTTTTCCATATTAACTTTCATTTTTAGGGAATTCAGAATTCCTCTTAGGCATAGGAATAATATATTGCTTTACAGCTTCTACTAAGGTTCTGGGCCTACTTCAATTTAAAAATTAAATTTATGTTAATTAATTAAATGTTAAATTTATGTGTAAGTGCATAACCAGAATAAAATCCTAATCTGAATGAAACAAATGGCAAAATTGTCACAGGCTTTAGCAATGCCAACGTTTGTTCATACAGAGTTCATATTCAAACATTTGCATCTAACAACCCTCCTTTCATTACTATTTCAAATTTCAGATTATCAAAATCAAATAGAGATTATTGTTATTTGGCTCTATGTATGAAAAATATGTCAAGTACATATTTTAATATTTTTTATCAAGCCGTCACATTTTAATATATGAGTTCTACATAGAAACACCCCTTAATCATAAATGTGACAACACATTCCATTTTCAGAAAAGAAAGGAAAAGGACGTATAGTGGATGAGAACTATAAGTACAAGCAACTACTTCTGTAATACAGAACAATGAAAATAATATAAAAATAATAATAAGGAAGAAAGAGGGCAAAATAAAAATCAAGTTGAGGGCGTAAACTGTGAGAAGAGATGAAGAAAATAAATACACTGTGGATAAAAGAAAATAAAGATTATCCTGAATGAAAAGGAAGGTCAGCTGATACTGGCCAGAAAGAAAAAAGAATTGCTCAAAATCTGCTTTTTTTCAGTCTTTATCATAAAAGAGGAACGAAGCACGGAGCTCGGTGAGATAAATATTAATGAGGCTTTGGGAATATCTTCCAGAAGATTAATAAGAAGCAGGTAAAGGAATATTTAGATAATTTAAACATTTATGATTCAGAAAGTCCAAATCATATTCAACCAAAGAATCTGAAGAAACTGGCTGAGAAGGATCTAATAGACATCTCTCCGACCTCATGGAAAAAGGTTAGGCACCAAAGGATTGAGGAAGAATGAATTTCAGAAAGGAGGAAAATGTGAAAGAAGGAGAATTTCATGCAAGTTGCCATCATTCCCTACTATGGAAAATGCAATAGTAAATACATAATTGTGCATCATTTGATGCAAGTAGCAATCCACTCTTATGAGACTGTAAATTTATTATCTTTGTCCATCTCTCTTTTTGATTAATGTCATTCAGTATTAATCATTGCTGAATTATTTTACTAGATAAATAAGTCAAATTCTCTACATTTTCTTTACTCATTTTAGTCACTATGAATTAATCTTTCTTGTTGGTGCCCAAAATGTCTATCACATCAAAGATCAGGTTTGCATTACTATTTCCCTAACTCTACTAGCATCCTTATATAGATGAAAATGGTGTTTTCTTCTCTCATTGCTCCTTTATGTTGGTCTGTAGAACAATTTTGAAGTTGATTGAGGCTCCCAGATGTCCTTTTATGGGTTTCTACCAAATGAAAGTAAAAATTCTTCTGTTTGTCTTTGAACCCATGTCTTTGCAGTATGCAATATTAAATGCCATTCTATTTGTATTTCTGAGATCATCGATTGTCTAAATTGTCTCACATGATGTTGTTCTGGTCCTTTTCTGTGTTGATGGTATCTTCCAAATTTCTGTTTTCAGGAAATTTCATTACCATATTTTTCTTTTCTGTGTCATGCTTATTAATGGAAATATTAAATCAGTCTTTGAAGAACTCCATTAGCATGCTCCTTCCACTGCAGTATTTTCCCTTTAAATTGTAATCTCTTCTTTAGATATTTCCTTGCCTACTTTAGATTTCTTGTACTATTCCCCAACTTCTCTTGCTTAACCAGTAATTTTCCAAATGGTATTATATCAAAAGCCTTCGTGAAGTCCAGATAAATGAGACTTACTTCATTTCCTTTGTCAAAAATCTGTTACTTTATCCGTGAAAAAATATCAGACGTTCCTGAGCAGTTACATCTTGCTGGCGGTTATATTTCAGTTTAATTTTTCTTCTGCATTTTGATGAAACTTATAGTACTGTGTTCTCAGTTTTAAAGCCTACTACATGCTGCACTTACCCACTACCTACATGTTGTTAAAATTTTCATGAGGTTTTTTAGTATGCAGAGGCAGTACTCGTGCTCATAGGCAACATTAACACAATGGCTCTTTTGGAGCCATTATAGTTGATCGTGCCAATGATCCATGGATTATATACTTTTACAAGGTCTGATGCACTTGCAAACAAAAGGATTTTTTCCTTTGCATCTCTGTTTCTCAAGAGACATTCTTTCTTTTCTCTCGCCCCCCCCCCCCCCCCCTTGCAAAATCATCCTTTAATATTAATGCAAAGCAACCAAACAAAGGAAACCAAGCCACAAAAATTCTAGCTAAGATGATGTGATGAATACACTTAATCCTGGAACAGAAAAGTAATTTCTGTCTCTTATGTAGACTTTTTGTGGCTGCTTTTCTGTTCTCTGCTTCTGTAGAACAGAAAAGCTCTGACCTGCTCTTGGGATCATAAGCACACATGCAAATGTTCCATTTTTAACCTTAACTCCAGGACAAAAACTGCTCCTCAGAAGAGCACAGCCATAAGTGCTTTTGTGTCTTTCTTACTATGTGTTGCCACTTGTCCCTGATTCTCACTGTTCCCAGGTAGAATTGTGTTCTGAAGCATGTCCGTGTTGTTCTCCAGCAGCGCTCCGGACGCATCCAGTTAGCTGTGGCCTTTGGGATCCCTGGAGACTTAGATGATGTCCAACAGTGCAAATTGGTTGTCACCATATTTCCTGAGTATTTAGAACATTTTTTTGTTTTGCCTAATGGTAGTTTTTGGGCCATTCTCTAAAGCTGAGGCAGACTGAAAAATGAATACAAGAGGAATGGCAGCATCAGAGAGATTTCTGTACTTGTCCTCTAGTAACTCTTTCTGCTGACAAGACGTCTGTGAAGATCTCAGGAGAAGGCCATGTTAGACTCAGACATAAGTAATCCCTGTGCTGAGTGGAAAGCCTCAGTGAGCGTAGCTCATTGCTACAATGCTCTGTTGATTTACTTGTTTCTCTCTAAGCCGAAGACTCCCAGTTGTCCCTTGTATGGCCATGCTAGTTTCTTGCCTGAGCCCATTCTGGACTAAAGCAATTTATTCCATGAACAGAGAGACTCCAATACAGCTTAAAGAACAGTGTAACAGTGAATAGATATAGCACAGTCTGCAACAGGTGTTTATCCTGTTGTGTGATACGGAGTTTCAGTGGTAAACTAACCAGCCTCACACTCTCACTTTATCCCAGATTTTGCTGCAGATGCAGCCAGTGGGCTCCACAAACTACTGAATACTTAGTATATACACAGGCCAGTTACTTGTCTCAGGTACCTGCTGCATGCATAGATAAGATGGCATTAATATAACCAAGGATATTGGCCAGTGACAGGAAGACAGTGGAGCTTGACGCAAACAAAACAAAGCATCTGGTGGAATCTGAGTGGGGTTTCATCATACACGCAAGAAAACCCAACCAACCAAATTCCAGTGGTATATCTGAACACATTAGTTAGAACATCACAGAAAATTCCCATAGAAACCCTGCTTTATGTTCCTTGAAAGAGAAATATGATTTAACAAAAGAGCTTTAACATCCTTGCAACTCACAGCTCATAAACTCCTCACCAAATACTTTGTTTGGAACATGCCTGTGCCAAAGGCCTCCTGTGTGGCCATAGGAATCTATCTTATTTTCCCTCTACCTTAGTTACTTATCTATAAAATGGGTAATATATTATTCCTTTCTCAGTTCTTTATCTAATCTGTTTAGATGCTAGTTTCTTTAAAGAAAAAAATTGCCTCCCCCAGCAAAGGAGAAAAAATGCAGGCTCAGTAATAACAACACATGGGCTTAAACATTGGCTGACAAAGGAAGATGATTTCCTCTTTGTCTCCTTGCTCATCAACCAGATGTATCAGGATGCATGATTCTTATGAATCAATGGGCACATGATGGAAGGCTATGTTGCTTTGTAACTTCAGGGGCATTCTGTGCCTTTTACTAAGGGATATACACTGTATTTGAATTAGGAGCAACTGACATTCAGAGTCTTCAACAATGTAGGTAATTTGGGCTTGTGTAAGAGAGTAGAAAGTACTTATTAAATAGAAAAATTGTGCAGATTAGTGAGCTGAAAAAGAATATATAAGGGCTATTGTCAGTAAGCCCTTGATGTTATCATGCCAGTGAATTGGAGAGAAAACCCCACACTTGTTAAAATGCATCAACAGAAAGAGGAAAATATGGAAACAGAGAATACTACTGAAAAGATACAGTGTTGCTGAAGTATAAAACCTAGTTCCATCTGCAGTGTGTTGCTGTCAGCTTTGATTACCTTATCATATGTGGAACGCCATCAGTCCTGGAAGGGTGCAGTGCTGGGAGATAGGATGGTTCCAGGTTCTGAGACTTTAATACAAAGCAATTATGAATAGTTAGGATTGTTTTCTCTGGGAAATATCAAGAACACTTTAATACAACTGAATTCAAGGTGACACAAAACTACTGAAGTTACCTATGTACTCAGAGAGAACCAGGTACATTTGAGAAACACGTAGCTGAAGATCACAGTCCAAAAGAAGAACTGAAGGGAGAAGAAACGAATTCATTTGCACAGGAAATCTCCCTCACTTTTGGGAATCCAGGTTATCATTAAGTCTCCCCGGTGCCACCTTGTTGTTTGCCTCTCTACTGATGAAAAGAGTTCTTGAAGAGCATTAAAGTCACTCAGAATGATACCCATCACAGGAACAGCACGCTATTAAACTTCTACGTTACCTTTTCTTGTTGTGATTCCTATTTAGGTGCAAGTCTGGGTGATAGAAACATCACAGAGGGATGTAAGAAGCAGGTCATCTGAGCAATAAAAGTTTTCATTTACTGTTCTCATCCTCCTTGCCTATATACACATCTTGTCTTGCACAGTTCTGCAATCTGGCCTCAATTTCCTAATTAGGAGTCATTTAGTGATGCAATGAGACAAATCTCCTCAATATAAAGACTAGACTTACTCTTATCTATCTTAATATACAATAGATTGCTAAATCCACTGTGCTATGGAAACATAATTGCAAGATTTGAAAGTCTTAAACACCTGATTTCAGTTACCTAGGGATATACAAGTTATTCCTCCAGGCATAATGGGAGAATGGGACTTATGTGCAGAGCATAGATCGTTTTATCTTCTGATATGTTCATGGAAATGTGGAAATGAATGTAGTTTGTTCAGACTGATTTGTCTGGCAGTCCAAAAAACTGTTTGGAAAGCTCAAGTTTTGCACTTCCTGAGTTGCTTAGTCATTACTTTACTGGTAAACCAACACAATTACTAATTCAGACCTCTTGAAAGGAGGTATACATTTAAAGTTCCTTTTTAGAATCACTCTAAAGGATTATAATGGAAACATATTTTATAGAATAAAAAATATATCTTAAAAGATACCTTAGCTTAACTACTTAAAAGTAGTTTCAGGTGGGTAGGTGTAACAAACTCCAGACCTTCACCACTCATTGAAAAGATTGTATTTTTCTGTCATTGTTACCATCATAATATAAAATATTTAAAAGGCAAATAATTTATCATTCACATGCTATAGAACAGAAAAGAAGGTGCCTCTCTTTCATCAATGACAGTTATTGAAGTTACCCATAGATGAGAGCATAGAAGGCACAGAATTCCATCTTTTTAAAGCCCTAATTGTTCTCTCGATAACAGTTGAGTGAGAACAAAATCTTCTAAAGCACTCACCTGGAGTAAAGTTTCTAATTGCAACTTCAGACACTCATACGACATCGAATCCTCAGATTCACTGTTCAGTTACCATCTAAAGCCTGTAAACTTAAAACTTCTCTACCAGTAATGAAGCATGAACAGAAATGCCTTCTGCCAGTTCAGCGTCAAATTTGCTGAAATTCAAAAATGCACAAGTTGAAGGTAAGGACAATCCATACTGAATTCTCATTTCTTGAGGATTTGATCCTGCAAATTCCATTTTCTTTTCCTCGAAACCCAATTATTAGGTATTCTGAGAGACATTGCTCATCTTGAATTCGTGGCACTTTGCATGTCAAAAGTGAATGTTACTGAAAAAAATGCAAAATAAAGAGAAATAGTGAGCCCAGTTATATTAGGTATCTTAGTATCTTATTTAACAACCTCACTTTGAAAGATTCCTACTTTTTCCCTGGCATTGGCACAGGGAGACTAGTTATCTATTCCAGTAGGGAACAAGAAATTCCAATTGTGAGCCAAAAAATAGGTATTACATGCCAAGCCTAGGTCACCTTTGTGGAAGACTTATTAATTATTTAGTAATTCTGAGGGATCCTGCCAGCTTCAGTTGTTCTGATGAATTTTTAATAAATCACTATTAACATAAATGGGAAGTATAAATTGCTTGCATTATGCTGTATGTGGTAGTAGCAAAGAGAGACTTCTGCACTAAGGTCCGAGATCTGCTGCTTACCTAACAGAAACTGACAGCGGAATGATCCAGCTCTCTTGGGATTGGCCTGAAGTATAAAATCTTTTCAACATAGAGGAGTTTTATTTTGCAGTTGCCAAAAAGCACCTGAAGTAGTTGGTCTGTATCTGAGGAACTGACAGAAATAAACACTGTTCTAGAGACCCGCTCCAAGGATTTACCTGGAGATGAGAATATGCGCTAAGAAGAAATTCAATTGAGTCAAAGGAGTGCTTCCTAAAAACATCTGGCAAAACTTCTGTTAGGAAAGCATAAGTCTTCCTGAAGCACAGCGTGTACTGGAGATGCTTTTTCAGATAAAATCCATTGTTCTTGACCAACAGTTTCAGAATCCAAATAATGGTTTATAGATTCATTATCTCAAGAAGAACTGTAGTGCTTTCTATTTTCATAGATAGTTGAAGAATATTTAGCAATATTTAATAAGCTTTTGCATTAAGTTAGATTATTAACATGTTTTAAGTTTTGGCTTCTGACAGTGAGTCAACTACAGCCCTGAGTTCACTGTGCCCATACCTCAGAGCTTGAACTCGACACCCTTTTTTTCATACTGTGTCTCCTTTGCCCATCACGTGGAGAATGACAGCATTCCTGTTTGAATATACTCAACAGCTTCCCTGAGGAAGGAGCCTGCTCACCCTCTCTGCAAGGCTCCACCCAGCCAGGCTTCTTAAAAGAACAGTTGTGAAGACATAAATAAAACAAATACCATCTGTCATGCTAGTATTGGCCCATATGTGTAACCACCTTTTCTAAGTCCTTTCAACTGATTTTCCACCATACCCAAATACACATTTGGTTTATTAAAGAATTTTAGCACCTTATGGATGCCATTCCCAAACATTTTAAATACAATCCATGCAAGTACCCAAATAAGTCTGGATTTATTTTCTCAACCAACTACAGCCATTTCTACATCCTAATCAGCTGAAGATCTGTTGTACCAGCTCAGCTCCTTTTATCTGAATGATCTGTGATTGTTTGTTTCCTTTCTGTCTGTCTTCTTTCTGAGCATCCTTT